TTTGTCTCTTTCATTGGCAGAACTATGTTAAAATACTCAACTTTCCAATCTTTCCACCAAAAAAAAAAAAAAAACTTTCCAATCTTCTGTGCCTGTATTCTTCATTTCTGTATGAAAAAAAATTCATTCTTTGGATCTTACACAGCATTGCATTACTTTACAATTTTTTTTTTTTTTAACGAAAGTTAGTAGCTTGGTATCAGTAGATGGAGGGGTGAGAGGTTCGAAATTCTCACCTTAATCTTAAATTAAAATTTTTAAATTTATAAATACCAACTTTTGTTTTGGTGCTTTGCTTTAGTTTTTGTTCTACTATGACTGCTGCAGTTTTGGCTAATTTTGTCTCATCTAGTCTGCGAAATGATCTATCTTTGCAGCTTTTCAACAGGTTCTTGGTGAAATTTGGGTCATGGATGATGTGGGTCTGGTTTCTTTTTGATTATTGAGCTTTTGACTCTGCAAAGTGGCTCACTGTCTTCTAAGCACCCTTTGCCATTTTTACTAGGTGAGTTTTGTTACACTCTTTGATTTTCTGATTTCTTTGTTTTTTCTTATGCGTGGTTTGGTTGGTGTTGACGGTTTTGTATGCGGGTAAATGGGTTTTGAATTGTGGGTATGCTTCTCTGAGTCTTGTTTTGGGTTGCTACGATTTTATTTTTTGTTTTTGGTTAGCTACCATGTGATGTTCGATTCTTGTCTGATGAACTGGTTTTGGGGAGGATGTGGTTTTCTTAAAAACAAAACAACAGATCATGTTTTAGTCCACTGGTAAGTTTGGAAAAAAGAAAAGAGAAAAGATCATGGTATTATGCTGATTGCTGGGAAGTGCTTTTTAATACCTGTACCAGTGATCAATTTAACCTGCCATCAAGGTAGAAATGCTTTCCCAAAATGAAAAACAAAAATCTTCTGAATTTTTCTTTATTTCTTGGTTGCAAGAAAAGGGCTTCTATTTGTCTGTTTTGTCAAGTAGAGAGTTTCTGGTATAAGCTGGACAGCAGATCACTTTAGAAATGATTTTCCATGTTTAGTTGGTGATCGTGTGTTGGGATTTTTACTGACCTTTGTAAGCATGATTTCTCTATTTCATAAATAAGCATGAACAAGGAATCCTGCTTTATTATTTTCATTTTAGTGATTTAAGCATGAATTCTCCGTACCCTTTAGTAGACAAGCATGAAAACTATGGTGGACCGATGCCCTTTTTTGTTTCTCAATTACTTAGGTAGAAGCATATCCATATAGTATGTATTGGCTTTAATTTTTCCATTTTAAATATCTCAATAACACAGCTAAAGGCATGCTTATTTCTTTGGTCTGTTAGTTGGCTTAAATACTATATATTTGTTTTCAGACTGCCTTGCTCCTTTCCCAAACGTTTTCTTGTTTGCAAATGATTCCTTGCTCATCTGTCTGTAATAGCTGCTGTATTTGTGTGTGGATTTTGAATAGTTGATTTACTCATCACTTGTCTCCTTACGTAGATAAAAGATGGATCCTACCCGGGTTAATTCGGCAGCTCATTGCTCTGGTACAACACCATCAGAAGAATCGGCTTTGGATTTTGATAGAAGCTGTTGCAGTCATTCTCATCTGCCTTCACTTAGTCCACCAACACTTCAGCCTTTTGCTCCATCTGGACAACACTGTGAGTGCAGTGCGCCTTACTTCTCATGGCCCACCTCCAGCAGATTAAATGATGCTGCTGAAGAAAGGGCAAACTATTTTGCTAATCTACAGAAAGGAGTGCCACCTACTATTGGTCAGTTGCCAAAATCGCAACAAGCAACAACATTACTCGAGCTCATGACTATAAGAGCATTTCACAGCAAGATCCTCCGATGTTACAGTCTTGGTACAGCAATTGGATTTCGTATTAGAAAAGGTGTGCTCACTGACATACCAGCTATCCTTGTTTTTGTCTCCAGGAAAGTTGACAAAAAGTGGCTCAGCCCAATACAACGTCTACCTACTGCTCTGGAGGTTAGAAAAGTTGTTTATTGTATTTCCTATCTTGAATTTTCTTTTCGTTTTCAAACTCTTTTTCCTTTTAAGCATACATATTGAGGCGTGGGTTTGTTTCCATTTTTTTGACCTTTGCTTCAATCAGGGACCTGGTGGTGTATGGTGTGATGTGGATGTGTTGGAGTTCTCATATTTTGGTGCACCTGAGCCAACACCCAAAGAACAGTTTTACACAGACATTGTGGATGATTTACGTGGGGGTGATCCATATATTGGTTCTGGTTCACAGGTAATTCTCGATTTCTCATGCAAAATCTCCATACTAAATATGTGAAAACAACGGCTTTTTTCTTTATGCTGTAAACAAGATGATTCCATCATTCTACATAGGATGTAAAACTGCAGTAGTCACTTGAACAAGTTCGAAAGCTTGCCTTTGAACACACTACATTTATTTCAGAGTAGTCATCACTATCTTTTGCAGTCGTACCTATATATAATAAAAAAAAGATACTGTGGACCAGATAGGCATACAAACTGGAGCAAACTCACTGAAAAACAATGTCTTGACATCTTGATGGGTGATATAGGAACTAGCTTAAGAGTCTAGAATTTGAAAATTCCATTGTAGATCTGAATTATGTGGGTGGGGTTGGCAAAATTGGAAGGCCAAAAATAATAAACAAACAAATTAACTGAATCATTCGTGATGTAGCTTGTTAGGTTATAACCATCAGTGGAGCAAACAAGTAGGTATGAGCAACAGACAATTGTTCAACTGGAATGCACTAAACATATAATATTATAGTTTGTTTGGGGACCAGTTTTTTAGTTGATACATGCTCAGCCATATCTTTGTCGTGGCATGTCTTTTTGTTTTTGTTATTTGTAAACAAAGACAGCTAGCTTTGAATGCTAAATCTATACTAACAACAACAAAATATTTATTGGCCTATTAAACTATGTACTTTAGTGATGGTAATGCCCACTAAGGGGATTCCTGAGTGATATGTGATTGGTAAAATATTTCATTTGTATTTCTATTTATTCTTTTCTAGCTGGTGCATCAGTATCTTCCTTTTTCGGATGATTCTTCATCTGGTTCTGTGTTGTCTGTGAGTGGTCTAATTATTATTTGGATAAGATAATATTTTTTTTGCTTCCTGTCAAATAATAATTTTAACTATTGATGCAAGTCTTGCTGCTTATTCCCAGGTAGCTAACCAGGAGACCTATGGAACTCTGGGTGCCATTGTGAAGAGTCAAAGTGGCAGTAGACAAGTTGGTTTTCTCACAAACCGTCATGTAGCAGTTAACTTAGATTACCCCAGTCAGAAAATGTTTCATCCTCTTCCTCCAACACTGGGTCCTGGTGTATATCTTGGTGCGGTTGAGAGAGCCACTTCATTCATCACAGATGACCTTTGGTATGGCATTTTTGCTGGCATAAACCCAGGTAAGAAGGCTGTAGATTATGCATGTAATATGATCACGTGAATATAGAAAAGTCTTATTGAGAATGCTTACATTTTTGGCAGCAGCCTGGGTTTTGATTTTTGCTTGCTGTTGAAGCTTATATTGTAGTGTGAACAAACTACTGAACCAGTTTAAGATTGTGATGATTAAGTTGAAAGATACCCCTTTTTTTTTCTTTTTTTTTTTGGAATGAGTTACTATGAACACCAACCTAATCTTTGGGATGTGCAAGACATATAACTCTGATTGAGTTCTTCCATATGGCTCTTCTGTAGTTAAAGTTAGATCTTGATGATTGTGTTCATTTGCAGAGACATTTGTGAGAGCAGATGGGGCATTCATCCCTTTTGCTGATGATTTTGATATGTCCACTGTTACTACATCTGTGAAAGGTGTGGGAGAGATAGGTGATGTAAAGGTTATAGACTTGCAGTGTTCGATTGGTAGCCTTATCGGGAAGCAAGTGATGAAGGTTGGAAGAAGTTCTGGCTTGACCACAGGAACGGTGTTGGCCTATGCCCTTGAATACAATGATGAGAAAGGTATCTGCTTTTTAACTGATTTTCTCGTTGTTGGTGAGAATCAGCTGAGTTTTGACCTTGAAGGAGACAGTGGAAGCCTCATCATGATGAAGAGTGAGAATGGTGGGAAGCCACAACCCATTGGAATCATATGGGGTGGAACTGCCAATCGGGGCAGACTTAAACTAAAAGTCGGCCAGCCTCCTGTAAATTGGACCAGTGGAGTTGATCTTGGGCGCCTTCTGAACCTCCTTCAGCTTGATCTCATCACAACTGATGAAGGGCTCGAAGGGCTCAAAGGTTTGTTCTGTGTAAAATACTGAAGTTAGCTCAAATCTTTTCTCAGCATTTCATTTTTTACATCGTCCTCTTGCTTTTTTGCTGATTCTTTACTATTGCTTCCATATTGGTAGCAGTAATAGCTAGTTCCCCTCTCATATAATGATTGATCTTTTTGACCCTGCTCTTTTTGATTGTCATGATAACTGGTAAGGGTGAAATCCTGAAACCTGAGTCCCAAAATATTGAGGGACTTGGATCTTAATAATGGTTGTTGTAGGATTTGATACTTCATGTAAAGTACAAATTAGAAGACCACATTGAGACAGGCATAGATCAGATAAACTTGCCTGGAAGACATTTTATCAAGAAATGAGAATTTTGATTGCAATCTTGATTAAGATTAATTTTTTAATCATCCACAGCAGCAGTGCAAGAACAAAAAGCAGCCTCAGCAACAGCAATTGGCTGCGTTGTGGGGGGCTCCTCACCCCCTGAGACAGTTCGGAAGGATAAAAGTGAAAACAAATATGAGCCTCTGGGTCTTCAAATTCAGCACATTCCACTAGAAGTCGAACGCTGCAGTGCAGAAATGAATCCGTCAATACTAGAATCTGAGTTTCATTTGGAAAATGAGGCAAAGGCAGGTCCAAGTGTGGAGCATCAATTCATTCCAAGTTTCATGGAACGGTCACCTTTGCATAAAGGCTTTAAGGTGGTCTCTCATGATCTTGCTTCATTAAGAAATGGTTGTGATGAAGATTTCTGTGTTTCATTGTATTTGGGTGATAATGAAGCCAAGAGGAGGCGTTCTGATGCCTCAACAAGTACAGAACCAAAGTGAAAAGGGTGTAACTGTAGTGCTGGAAACTGAAGGGTGTTGTAACTGGAACCGGGGTATTGTTCTGTCTAATGCAGGTGTTGTTACTCCTAATAATGTAGGGAATTAATTATACAAATTTGAAAAGTCGGAGGGTTATATTGAATTTTGATTATGAATACAAGGACATTGTTATATGTAACTAAAAATGATTTTCTCCTTCTTGTAAAATAAAAAATAAACAAGGAGAACAAGAAATGTGAAATGGAAAGACAAAAGGCAAAGAGACCAGGGGATTTTATTTTTCTTCATTTTTTCATATTTTTCTCATACAAAACAAGTCATGTATAGGGGGTAGAGGCGTAGAAGTTATTAGAATTGCAAGAGTTTTAATACAGAATTTAATTATTTATTAAATAAAAATAAATTACTATATAAATATTTTGAGATTATGAAGTATTAACTGCTAAATAATTGTATGGAAGTAATGAGAGTTACATCATTATTTAATATGTATATATCATAAAAAGTAAGACGATGAAATATGATAAAGGTAAAACATATATAAATCAATGGATTCAAAATACTACCACTCTAAAATTTTGAAAGAGCTTAGGAAAATGTTTCATTTATGGTTAAATTCCAAGTTTTAGTCCCTAAACCTTTAATTTTAAACATTTTTAGTCCCTAAATTATCTTTTATACCTTTTCATCCTTAGACTATGAAAAATGTATTTTTTTTAGTCATTTTATTTGATTAGTCTATTAAATTTATCAATGTATATATGGAGAAATTTAACCTTTATTAATTAAATTTCTTTTTTAAAAAAATTAAAGTTCTTTTTATGATTTTTAGGCTACACAATAAGAGAATCCAAGATTTAAAAGAAAAAAAAAAAGCATTTTGATACTTTCTTTGAAGGTTTCTAAATTAGTTTTTCTATATTAAAGTGATAAAAGTCAACAATTAATAGACTAAATATTAAATTTAACTTTCAAAA